AGAGAGAGAGAGAGAGAGAGAGAGAGAGAGAGAGAGAGAGAGAGAGAGAGAGAGAGAGAGAGAGAGAGAGAGAGTTCTTCCTCCTCTCAGTCCACCATCTCTTCCTCACCCTCTCGCTATTTGACTTCTCGGCATCAGTAGACTATGAGCGAGAGATGATTTTGGGATGTTGTCGACATTGGGCTACAATCTCGACTTTGGGATCGAGACATTGACGAGGGACTATTTGGGATCGATACTGTGTGACCACATTCCCATCTTCTCCCTCATCTTCATCTAATCCCCCTCGTCTTCGTTTGTGGATGTTTGGGGCTGGCACATTCTTCCTGTGTGAGCGCCAGGCCTCTTCACACCTTGTAATGATGACGATGTATGTTTAGTCTGCATTGCAACATTGATTGGGTTGATCATTGGTATCCTAGATGGGATGTCCTGTCAATCCCAGTCAGGTCGGGACTTATATCCAAGTCTTCCACTGTGCTACAAAGCGCCATTTTGTATGTATCAGGATGTACACTGCTTGTTGAGATTCCACAAACACTGCATTGTCCATTTAGTCCTTTCCATCACGTTGTGTATCCTTGGTTGTACATACATTGCCCAACTGGGCATGTAACAGAGAGAGAGAGAGAGAGAGAGAGAGAGAGAGAGAGAGAGAGAGAGAGAGAGAGAGAGAGACCGGGTGAGAGAGGGAGAGAAACGTCCTTCTTCTTCTTCTTCTTCTTCTTCTCTGCTTCCTCCTCTTCTTCTTTTTATCTTCTTCTTCATCTTCTTTTTCTTCTTTTTGCTCGTCTCTATCCTCCATGTCTAACGTGGACTTCATTTCAGCCGAGTTTTGGGATGTCGGGGACAGTCGGACTAAAATGAAGTGTTGATTTTATGCAATTGCATATTCTACTTCGTCGTTGTTTTTTTCGTTTTTTTCCGTCCGTGGTTCTGTGTTGTTGTGGATTGAACTCTGTATTATTGTCTACGACCATGCCCAAACAAAACTTCCAAACAACCCTGAAAAATTTTGCAATATGCTGCAATACGGTGTCGTGCACATTGGTCCCTTGTCGCGGAGAGTGTTTGCCGCTCCGTCCGAGTGCGCCAGCCGTACCTCTCGCGAACCCCTATGACAGGATAGGGCCACGCGAGGCACAACTTACCCCCACCCACGGGAGTTGTCACCATCCCTTAGGTGGGCGTATCCCCGTCGAGTTACCGAACCGCGTGCGAAGGCTTTTTGTATGCAATCGCAGAGGTGGCCCGACCGAGGGCGTTTCTCGTTCGTTGTAGCATAGGGGGTATGGGTGGTTAACGCCCGAATCAGACTTGCGCGCGAATCATTGCACGAGGCGCTAATCTCTCAAATGCGATCCTATGTCGGTCGACTAGGACGACCATTCTACCCACGTGATACATTGTTATGACAACTAAAATTTGAGTCTACTTACAATATCGCGCCTAGTCCCTTTTTCTGCTCGACCCGTTACTGTTCTCTTGCTTGAGCACGCAGATGCCACGCGCGAGATTCCATGTAAATAGTCGTCGCGGCGCGAGCTTTTGTCATATTGACTTAACCATGCACGAATAAGCGAGCATTTGTGATGATGGAGTACCATGTAATGCCCATAAAAGTGCGGTCCCTTCTGAATCATGGGATCACATTGGACGCTCAGGTGTCGGTTGACGCGTGCGCTAAAGGGTCAGTCCTTCAACGAGCGCAGAAGCGGACCGAGCATCCCGCCATCTTCTGCACCTTGGTGTGCCTCAATGCGGGGCACGATAAGATGGCATTGACGGTAGAAGGAAATTTGGAGCGGTGGTGCGTTGTTGGGCGCATTGCCAGCAACACGCTAACCCATTTACCCGGAACCTTATCGTTCCACCAATGTAAATTTAAAAAAAGGAAAATTAAATTGTCGTGTGTGTGTGAACGTGTAACTGTTCATAGGCCTCGGCCTATGCTAAACACATGCGTGTGCCAACTACGACAACCGTGCTCAAGAAAGTGCTTGATTCGCATCTGGTTCTCGTTGCGAATATTCCGACCTTTAACTTAATTTGCTTGAGAACTTCAGGTGTTGTTCGCGCAAAGAAGTTAAAAAGGGAATCAGGGGTGAAGGAAAACCACATTATCCAGTTATGCGAACTCTCGCAATCAACTATCATGGCGACGCTTCACGCGTTACCCATAACTGCTCGACCCTCCATGGGCTTCAGCGTTGCGCACAACACGCTAGTGTCGAAAATGAAGTATTGTGAAGGAGATATCCTTCACGATGTAGAACGGTTGAAAGATGAGCCGTTCAACCCTCACGGCGCCTCTGACCCCTAGGCAGAGCACTACGATAGGCAGGGCACAAATGTTCAACGCATAGGGGAATCCCTTTTGTTCTGAACAGAAACCTAGAATGTCTTAGACAGGGACCTCGAATTCCAGGTTCAGGACCAATGTCCGACCAATTAATTCAAATAGCTAAAGTAACTATGCGCGTTGTTGTGGGTATCGAGCTTATATGTATACACGCGTGCCCTTGGCTATGCCAAGTAAGCTGGTTGAATAATTCAGGTAAGGGGTTTGTATGGCATTAGACAATTGTCCCGCCAGACCCTCAACTCCTTGATCTCCTTTAGCCATGCTCCTCGCTTCCTTGATGCCTGTCGGCCTTGATCCCCGAACCTACTGCATGAAAGTCAAATGTTGTAACCAATAGGGCTAGGCCCAAGTCTGAACCTAACATGCATATACTTACATATAAATGACTTCATATTGCGCGTGGGCCTATCGAAATACCCTGAGGCCACTCCTTGGACTATCAACTGAACCCAGGACCATCGAATTCCCGCACACACAGCACAGAGGGTAAAGCTCCGTTTGTGGCCACCGCTCACACCACCTACCACGCCCAAGCCGTGCCGCCGCTTATTCTGGCCCCCGTAAGTGGTCACCATTTTTAAGATTAGACTTCCAATACTTCAGCGGGCGCTAACTCCAACCTTTACCTAGGTCAAACTCCGTTCGGGTACGCCTTGCCGAGATATAAAGATTCCGACTAACAAATAAAAGCACAACAACTAAGGTGTCTCATGCATTCCGTGCTACACGGATTCAGGCGCCGCCTCAAGAAAGCCTACAGCGATCATCTAGATCTGCAGCGCCAATAGTCAACCTTGAAGTCGGCCATGACATATCGGCCTTTGCACACTCACGCAATG